AGAAATAGACCCCGACATATATCACCCATTGATTTTCAACACACAGGCAAAGGGAATTCAATGAAGAAATAGTCTTCTCGATAAATGAATAGAAGAGAACAGCTGGATATACATAAGTAAAAAGGAATCTTGGTTTTTCTTATGTTAATAGGATCATACCAATATAGATTCCTTGGTTTAAAAAATGAATTCTGATTTTGCAAAAAGTTATCACTGGACACAGTCGGTGAAACTTACATAGAAACACTGTACTATATTTGAAAGGTCTGCAATCTGAAAATTCTTCAAAATAAAAGTTTGTGATAAATGAACCTTGAGATAGATATCCTTCATAATATATAAAAAAGTCAACTCAAATGGATCATAAACTTATAAAAACTAAAACTACAAATACAGAGAAGAAAATAATAAGACTTTATGATCGTAAGTTATAGTTTTTTACCTATAATACCAAAAGCATAAATCATAAAAATGAAAAAAATAAACCATACTATTTAATTAACTTCCCCCAAATATTTTCTTGCCTCTATACCTGTATCACTTTTTGATTTTTGTTATAAAACTTCTACTTTTACTCAATTGACTTCTTACCTCTTCCTTGAAAATTTCCTCATTTCTAAAACTAGTAATGATTTCTCATGGCCCTCCCACATCTGCACCCCGATACTTTGAGCCTTGGTAATAAGAGTGTAAACTGGCACAATCACTTTTTAAGTGTGTCCCAGTGTCAGTACAAAAATGAATGTATACATGACCAATGACTCCACAGATCTACTCTTAGAAACATATCCAAATGGAAAGTGAACAAATGCACATTGAATATGATGTGCAATTGTGCTCATAGTAGTGCTATTTATAATATCCCAAAATTTGCAAATCACTAAAGAGCTTGTCAAGATATACAAATAAATGCTGGTATACAAATAAATAAATATACAAATAAATAAACCCACATAACAGATTTTTATAATCAATGAGAAGGAAGGAGCTACAACTATCTGAGACAGAAGGGGTAAATCTTATAAACAATGTCATATGAAAGATTGTAGGCCTGTAATTTAGAGACTCAGGAGGTTTTAGGCAGGAGGTTCACAAGTTAGAGGCCAGTCTGGGCAACTTATTGAGACCCTGTCTAAATTAAAGTATAAAAAGAACTTAAGACATGGCTCAGTGGCAAAACATCCCTGGGTTCAACCCCCAATACCAAAATATGAAAATAAAAATCAGACACTAATGAGTATATATTGTATGAATCAACTTAACTAAAATATCAAGGCAGGACAAGCCGTATCATTAAATGTCAGGCTCCTGGTTATACCTGAGGGGAAGAGGAGTATACTGAATGAAAGATGTAAGAAAGAGAGAGAGAGAGATCATTTGGGATACTTGGAATTTTCTGTTCTGAATGCTCATTACTTAACAGAAATTACATTTCAATCTGTAAAAAATTATTGAGTTGCACACTTACGTTGGTTATAGTACTTCATATGCATTATATTCAATAATTTTAAAAACTGATGACTTATCTAGATTGCATATTTTGCCTTCCTTTGGCAAACTGTATGTTCCATATTAAAAAAAAAAAAATTCAGTGCCTGGAGCAGCAATTGACACATAGTACTGAATTACCAGTGGTATGATGATTAAAACAAACAAACAAAAAAGATTGAATTTAAAAGAAACTATAAATATAAAGCAGACTAAAATAGTCTTTTTCTCCTATGATTTTTGGATCCTTTTGCTTTCAGTTTTCCATGGAAATTTAGATTCTGCTGCAATAAACCAGATGGCAGAATGAAGGCAAGACAGAGGAATAACATGCTCTTCCTAAGCCTCAGGAAATAGGAAAGGATAATGTGGAAGGGTTTTGCTCTCCACTTACCTCTAGGAATCAGAAGGAGAATTCATACTAATTATTATACATAATAATACACATATATAGAGAAATGGATACAGAAAAATGGAGAAAAATTGAAATACAGATTTTAAAATATTGGAATACTTTCATCCACAAATGAGTATCATGAGTTTTACCCTTTTGTTCCATGGATGTATATGTGTACGTGTGAGTGTCTAGCTATACAAATTTTACAACTTCAATTACATATATATATATATATATATACATACACACACACACACACAAACACACACACACACCATACACAAGAAAAATATTTTCAAATATTTTACTAACCTGTCTGCATGACTAAGAAAATTCTTATATTTAAAATATTACTTGAATATCTAGAAAATCCCAAGAATGTGCAAAAATTCTGGGAAATAGTGACTCAAGAAAAAAACTCACATTTTTATGACAAGTTATTCGTCTTGGAATTCAAGGGTTACTTACAAAGAACTAACAAGAAAATAAAGAGTTAAATGTACTCTTAGAACCATATAATGTTAACAATGAACACCACCTAGAGATGGCTTACCTACTCACTGAAGTTTTATGAATAAAGAAATACAATCCAGAAAAGATTACTGATTGATACACAATGGCTAGGACAGTATTATCCAAAGAGATTCAAAGGCAGATGTGGGAAGTGTTGAAGTTGGTGTTGTAGAAGACAGAGGCAAGTGTAGACCAAAGCACTAAAATGAAGAGTAGGTTCCTTACGGATTAGAATCAGGATGGAATCACTAAGGACCAAACATGATATCAATGAGGGTGGAGAGGATTCATTATATTTTTTCATTCGTTGCACTTTTATTGAATGCTTAACATGTTTAGACCCTCTGCTAGATTCTGAACAGATAGTAAGTAGCAAAATTGAAATGATTTCCAACCAAATGTAGTTTATAGACTTGTGGGAAAGAGTGATGAACTCTATGTACAGCTACATATATACAAATGCACATATATACACACTTTGAAGGAAAACAAAATATAACTTACAGGAAAAAATGAGTGACATAAATAGGCTGGGTATTCAAGGTTCTCTCATAGTGTCATTTGAAAGGGATATTTTTGAACAGAAACTTATACAATTAGGAGAAATGATCCAAATGAACTTTCAGGGGGATCTAAAACAGTGGGAAGTTCCTTGTTATGGTTTTGGATTTGAAGTGTCCCCACAAAAGCTCCTGTGTTTGAAACATGATATACAGTAAGAATTCATACCCCATTTGAATCAAATATATGATATGTCAAGATCATTGTATTGTCTTGAGCAACCAATTAAATAAATAAATAAATGAAACAATATAGCAATGTTCCGAGGAGAATGATTAGGCTGTGAGAGCAGTAACCTCCTCAGTGGATTCATCCATTTGATGGATTAATAATTTGAATGGACAACCGGGTGGTAACTCTAGGCAGGTGGAATGTGACTGCAGTAAGTAGGTCAGTGGGGACCTAACCTGGGCCTATATCTCTTCCTGGTCCCTCTCTCTTTCTGCTTCCTGGCTGCCGTGACCTGAGAAGCTTTTCTCTCCCACACCCTTCTGTCCTGATTCTGCCTCTCTGCAGGCCCAGAGCAATGGAGCTAGCCCACCGTGGATTGACCCTCTGAACTGGAGTCCAAAATAAACTTTCAATCCTTTAAATTATTCTCTTAGGCATTTTGTCTACAGAAATAAAAAGTTAAAACAATCCTAATGTATATTGAAGAACCAAAAATGATAACGTGGCCGGAGAAAATGAGCTAAGAAAGATGTGGGAGTCAATGTTGGAGAGGAAGGCAGGAAAAAATGTTGTTTAGCCTTATAAAACATGTGGAGGCTTATGATTTTATCTTAAGTGCAACTAGGTATCTTTCCTGGTTTTAGGAATGACTTATCCAATTTAGGTTTAAAATATATGACTTTGAATTGTGTGTCGAAAAAAAAAAATACAACGGAGTAAGAACAGGAAGAGCAGGTAATGGGTAGAATATTATTGTATTAATTCAGTCAAGAAAGGTTGGTGATTCACACTAGAGTAGCAATACGTAAGAGAATAAAAACTAAACAGATTTAAGACTATACTTTGAGGAAAACTGACATATATTAGTAATGAATTGGAAGTACAAACTGAAGAAGAGGAAGCATAATAGAATAACAATAATTTCTTGGCAAAAACAGAGGGAAATAAGAACACCAAATTTTCAGGGTTGGAAATTTTGAAGATTTCATATTTGATGTTTCTTAAACTCCTGGGAGACTCCAAATAGGGTTGTTAGGTTTTCTCTTTGATATAGTTTAGTCTACAGCTCAAAAGAGAGTGCTGGCCTTGAGATTAAAAAAAAAAAAAAAAAAAAAAACTTATGAGCCTTTGGCATTGATAGTGATGGTATTTGAAGTCATAGGTCTGAATCGAGAGAGAGTTCTACAAAGTAAAGAATACTGAGAAGGACTTATTAGGTGGACAAAATGAGAAAAATAGTGTCATGGAAAATCAGGATGCAAAAATCATTAAGAAGCGAGGACTAGTCGTGTGCCCTAAGATTTCAAGTAAGGGAAGGACAAGAAAGGTCTAATGGATTTGGCATCATACAGAGATCATCAATAACTTTGGCAAAATGTTTGTTGAAATGTCTCAGACAAAATCAGATTGAAACTGGTCAAAACGTGAATAGAAAGAGAACAGGAGGAGGAGATCCACTGAGATGTTTGAGTAGAGAAGGGAGCAGAGATATTAACCTCTAGCTGGATGAAGATATGTGGCAAAGAAATTGTATACTCTTTAGGGGAAAAAATGGAAATACTAAGGTGTTCTTAAATGCTGGAAGTATTGATCAAGCGAAGACTAGAAAGGTAAAGAGGTAGAAAATAGAAAAAAAGTCTATAAGAAGGTGAGAGGAGATGGATTCAGAGTATGTGTAACAATGGGAAGATTATTCAAGTTCAGGCAGAAGGCACATGAGGTAGGGGCTGGGGATATAGCTCAGTTGGTAGAGTACTTGCCTTGCATGCACAAGGCCCTGGGTTCAATCCCCAGTACCACCAAAATACAACAACAAAAAAGAAGGCACATGAGGTGAACCTTGAGGTAAGGGAAGGACCTTGGTAGACAGTCAATGGTGAGTAGGACTAGCTTTCCCCTCCTTCCTGAAGATGGTTCTCTTGATGGCCTTAACGAGTTCCTTGTTACGAAGACTGTAGATAATTGGGTTGGCTAGTGGTGTCAAGACAGAGTAGACTACGGCAAGTGTTCGGTCAAGAGTCAGTGAATAGCTCTTCTTTAGCCGCACATACATGAAGATGATGCTCCCAAAGAAGATGAGGACCACAATGAGATGGGAGGCGCATGTAGAGAAGGCCTTCTTCCTGCCCGCTGCTGTTTTTATCTTCAGCACTGCTCCAATAATTCTCCCGTAAGAAATCATGATAAAGAGAAAGGTGATAAGGATAATAAACGCATTGACAGCAAAGTCCACCAGAACGTTAGTGGATGTGTCCTTGCAAGCCAGGCTCAGAAGAGGTGGAAAATCACAGAAGATGTGCTGGATTTCATTGTAGTCACAGAAGGGAAGCTGCGAGACCAGGATGACCTCAGAAATGGGACACAGGAAGCCACAAGTCCAACAGCCAGCAGCCATCTTGGCACAGAGTGCTGTGGTCATGATGGCAGGGTAGTGGAGGGGCCTGCAGATGGCCAGGTAGCGGTCATAGGCCATGGCGGTGAGAAGGTAACATTCAGAGGCCCCTAGGGAGTGGAAGAAGTAGGTCTGAAGGAGGCATCCTGCAAAAGAAATGGTCTTCTTCTCACTGAGAAGATTAGATAGCATCTTGGGGATGGTGGTGGCTGTGTACCACAACTCCAAGAAGGAGAGAACACTGACAAAGTGATACATGGGCTTGTGGAGCGCTCTGTCCAGTCGTATGACTAAGAAGATGAGTGCATTGCCACAAATGGTGAACAGGTAAGCCAACAATAGCAGCCCAAAAAGCCAGCCCCTGACATGTCCCACACTGGGGAAGCCCAGGAGTACAAATTCATTCAGGCTGGAGTGATTACGTTGCTCCATGAGAGACTGAGGTGAACAAAGAAAGGAGAAAACACTGGATTAAGGGGACAGCCAAATCTAAGTCAAAATTCAATTTCTCTCTTTCTGTCTCTGTCTCTTAAAATCTAAAGTTAGCGCTTTAATTGCTATTATTATTAATACCACCCTAAAAACAATAATAGCACTTATTCTAAATACATTCATGAGATAAATACCATTGTTACGCTTATTTTACAGATGGAATACTCAGGAATATAGAGGATAGCAGGATGATGACACTTTTACATTTGACATAGATACTATTTCTCAGAAACATAATTTGAATTTATGCACTTTAACTCCCTGCTATTTAATGTCTCTTTATAAATGTGAGTTTCCCAAACATCCCTTCTCCCCGGGTCACAGTTTTTCTCTAGTCAAGGCTAAAAGGTTGGTTTTGTCTACGAGATTAATATCATAGCAAGTTTTTCTCATTGTTCAGTACACTTTTATAACAATCAATTGAACAAATATGTGTCAGGCATAAGGAATTCAAAATTCAAGAAGGTATAATCTCTACCACCAGAAATCTTACAACCTATGCAGTCACATCTGTCAGTATTCTCAATATAACCTGTGAAGTACAGAACACTGCAGAATACCCAGGGGCACATTTCTCAGAACAGGGTAACTGAAAAGAGTTCTCAAGACAAGTAAGCCCTGAGAGCCAGGCACCGTGGTACACAAGTGTAACTCCAGTCACCCAAGCTGAGGTGGAGGATTATAAGTTTGAGGCCAGTCTGAGCAACTTAGTAAGATCCTGCCTGAAAATAAGAATAAAAAGAGTTGGGAATGTAGCTGAGTAGTAAAGCATTCCTGAGTTTAATCCCCACTACCACAAAAGAAAAAAAAGATAAAATTATAGGTTTGATATTTTTAAATGTTAAATTCACTCAGAACAATGAGCATTTGCAGGAATTTCTGCTAAACTACTTCTGCTCCACAGAGACTGTACATTCATTTTTTTTCAAATTATGGCAAACAGATGTGTTAAAATAACAATTCGTTCTTCTTTACACTTCTGGTACTATTATCACTCCTGACCATTTGTTTCTGGTTTATCTTTCTTCCTTTTTGCCCATCTGGAAACCACATCTCATCCTTCAAAAATCAGATCAGATATCAGATGTTAATGATTCTTTCCTGACTCTCTCAAGAAAAAAAAAAGTTACTTATTCCACCTTCTGTAGCCTCATAACCTTTACACTGTCTACTGTTTACACTGTTGTTATCTTTATATCAAATCTGTCTTTGTAAATTGGTAAAGTAATTGAGAGTAAATATAGCACTTCGTTAATTACTGCATATTCTCCTGCTTATAACTACAATAATAAGCATAGAACTGTAAACTCAATTCAGTTTTCTTAAATACACTTGAATTATTTTTCTGATGCCAATTTAAGTTACATTTTCCAACTGCACTTGAACATATATCCTTCTTGTCCTCCCACATCTCAAGCTCAATACATCCAAATGAATTTAGTATCTCAAATCTGGTCTATTCTCACTTCCCCTAGTCCTGTTTAAGGACTCATTATTGACTTCCACCAACCCACAGGAATTAAAGCAATATTCTTGATCATCTTTTGTGCACAAGGAACTGTTATTGATGATGCTTCCTCTTGCTAAAATTGAGCTTGTCTGAAGCTGATTGTATGTGTAAGACAAGGAAGGTCTAACAAGTATGGAATAATTTCAGGAGCACTCTGAAGACCTCTCAACCATAAATTCTTGTACCACCAAGTGTCTTTAAGCCCTCAAATGCAGAACCTGGGTAAGGCCTTCTCAAATGGAAGTCTTTCCAAATGCTCTGCTCCTGACATATCCCTTCCCTTCCTTTTCATTGCTGATTTCTTTAGGTCTTAGCCACAGCTCCTATGTCATGCACGATTTTTTTTTTTTTCCCAGAAACTTCTACTCTCTACTATCTCTGCTAGAACCTAACCATTCTGTAGCAGCACTCAGGGTAACTTTCTGTCTCTTAACATTTTCAAACTAGGTATTAGTCAATCCCTTGATTGTAGATTGAAATTAAGTATCAAATGGAAAGGAAGATGAACTTTAAAGTCTCTTCTGGATCTGATGCTCTAAGATCTAAAATCTGGGTACTCCAAGACCCAGTTATTTGTCAGCTTCCCACTAAACCAATTCTCTGATTTAAGAATAATATCTGTTTTCAAATCCCTTGCCCATCCCACCTCTTGGATTCCTGATAAACAGCTAGCATGGGCCCCAGCTCACCTACTGCTGAGCATCATCTGCTTGGTCTTGTCTGGCTTGGTATATATTTGGGAGATCAAGACTGGATCTAGTAGCCTTTTCTCCTCCTCAATGATTCTTATCCTGCAGGTAGGGTTGCTAGAGCCAACACTGACAGTCTTAGGCCATTAGGGACACAAGGAAGGGAGAGACCCCAGTCCCAGAGGCAGGTGACAATTGGGCTCAGGGATAGGCTCCTGGGAGGGCCCTTGGAGGCAGGCCAAGTTTTCCTCCCACCTGGGGAGCTGGGATCAGGGAGTACATGTTATGCTATCCCATTACCCTTCCTGCAAACCTCACCTCCACATCTCTAGTGACTTCTTAGGACAGAAGCCTAATGTTCCCTTTAAAAACAAAAAGCCTCTTTAATAAGAGCTACTTCTTCTGAAATAAATAAATAAATAAATATGGGCTGCGGAGCCTCTATTTTGATTTTTGGTTCCAATACAACATCCATTTACTGAGCTTTTGGTAGGCCACACATGGTATCCTAAGCACAATGCACGTATTAACTGATACAATATTCAGTATTACTCTATGAATAATTGAGTAATTATTGGGTTGGGAAGATTGTCAGTCCCATTTTACACCTGAGGAATGGAAGCACAGAGCATTTAACAATTTGCCCACAGCCACACAAATGGTGCCTCTGTCAGCATCTTAAACCAGAGCATTCTGACCCAGGCCTATGGTCACCACTTCTAAGTACCGTCACCTCCAGAAATATCGATGGTGGTCAAAGAAACATAACCACGTCCACAGGGGCACAAAGTGGCACTTTCCTCCTGGCCTGTGCTCTTGACCACTACAGATTACCTATGTGCCTTGAGGAAGTCACTTGTTTCTTCAAATGTGTATTTTGTCATGTTTAAGTGTGTGTGTAAAATTTAAGTGTGATCAAAATTATATCAACTGTAAAATGTGTTATTCTACCTTTCTTGCTTCACTTATTAAGTGCAGGTATTTGACATGCTCCTCCAAATAGCTTAGTGTAAGTGACTTAGCATCTCAGGGCCTTATTTTCTCCACCTTGGAAGAGAGCACATTTGAGTTACTTTGAGAATCAAACAGCATGATAATGCCTTAAAGTCAAAAAGAAGGAACACACCTGTAGTTTGACAAAATTAGGTTCATTGACTTTTTCAATGAAGAGGATCACACACCACCAGAATTGTGAAGCATTTCAGTAAGAGGGTATTGGGAAAGGATTGTTAGAGGATGTGGACGTGTTTCAGGTCACTTGGGAAGGATGCAAGGAAGCAGAGTTTGCTATGGATTGGGTTCTGTCAGTTACTGGGGCCTGAAACATCTAGAAGGCAGACTGAAGCTAGCATTGACCAAGACAGGGAAGCTACTCATATTAGCTAAGAGAGGAAAAAATATGCTGGTTTGTATAGTGATCTTGTTTTTGTTTGTATTTAAACAGAGTAAATGGTCTTCCCCCGCCCTCACAATATCACGTAGTCACAGAGTGACCCTGTCTGATCCTGGTATTCCATTGAGGATGCCTCTGCCTTTCTCTTTCTCAGATAAAATCCATAAATGCTGAAATATAAAATCTAGTCCATAATTGATGATCTATAAACTTTAAGTTTCTCCCCATGACCATTATACTATTTTAGTTTTTAGTGTTTCCAACATTAACTGAAACTGCCCTCCTTAAGTTCACTGTATTACAAAATAACTAAAATAAATGTGTAGTTTTGGATTGTTTAAAATTTAGTTTTCATGAATTAAATCTATCTACTTGTCGCTTCCTCTAATTGATTTCTAACAGAGGATTAATATCCAGAATATATGAAGAACTCAAAAAAAAACCACATAAAAATAAAACCCTAAATAAACTAAACACACACTTCTCAGAACAAGTACTAATGGCTGCTAATTATATAAAAAATGTTCAACATCTTTAGCCATTTGGAAAATGCAAATTAAAAACTAAATGAGCTGTATGTGGTAGTTCACACCTGTCATTCCAGCAACTGAGGAGGCTGAGACAGAAGAATCACAAGTTTGAAGCCAGCCTGGACAACTTAGGACACCCTGTCTCATTAAAAAAATATATATATATTAAAAAGGGCTGCAGGCTGGGCACAGTGGTGCATGCCTATAACCCCAGTGGCTCAGGAGGCTGAGTCAGGAGGATCACAAGTTCAAAGCCAGCCTCAGCAACTCAGCGAGGCCCTAAGCATGATATTTAAAAAGATCTGGAGATGTAGTTCAGTGGTTAAGTGACTCTGGGTTCAATCCTCATACCAAAAAAAAAAAAGTTTGGAGCTGTAGCTCAATGGTAGAGCTTGCAGGATGTGAAGAAAAACAACCCTTATACATTGTTGGTCATCATATAAACTAAGGCAGATCTGCAAACACAAGAACACAGTTTTCATGCCTGGTCTTAGACTCTTCTTCTACAGAACAGCCTTTAACCAACCTACATGTATATTAGAGACCCCTTGACTTATGAGGGTCACTCTTCCTTAAATTGGCTTTGGTTTGTCACTGTCTCACTCTCTGAAATGAGCAGAAAGGCTATAAACATTTCACATAAAAATAGAAATCGGCTAAGTCGCCTAAGTTTTTAAATCACCCTTCCCTCCACTTGGAATCATCCTTGAACAAAATCCAGTTCCTGTTCTAGGATCCTGTTTTACTCAGCTTTTTTTTTTGGTGCTACCACTGAAAGACCCGACCAGAACAACTGTAGAAGAGGAAAAGTTTTAGGG